AAAAGAGTAAAGAAAATTCAAATGAAAATAACAATGAAATTTCAAGTAGAAAGAGTAAAGAAAATTCAAGTGAAAAGAGCAAAGAAAATTCAGATGAAAACGTAAATGAAAAGTCAAGTAACGAAATTCCTAACGTAAACCAATTAAAATCAGATGCGAATGAAACGAGTGAACAAAATTCAGGCAAATCTGAAGGTAGGTTAAATAAAACTGTAGGAAAGTATTAAAATATTTATAAGCAAGTCCGCACTTAGGTAACGGCACGACGGGGTTAGCTCCTTGCCTTTGTTAGGTCTAACTCCACAGAGCTTTGCCAAGTTGCGTACAAGTAACATTAATTAACAATTTGTGAATCTTTTCAAACAGAGAACACACCATATAGTTTTTTGCTGAAGAAGCAACAGATTCACAACACACACAACAACAGGGTTGACTCACCCTGAGTCCTCCTGGTCATGTCAGATCGAAGAAATTTTCTTTGCGGTCGTTCTTTGTATTGATTAATTATAGCTTTTATATGTTAGAGTGTAGATTGTAGTTACAAAGAAGTAATTTTGTTTATTGATAAGACGAACTTTGGTGTCGCAAGTAGGTACCTAAGTAGCATCACCATTTTAGGGCCCAGAAACAACTCTTTTTAGCTTCTATCAAATGCAGTTTTGCAAATTATGATTATATTCTGAGCATTTTTTTTTCAGATGCAACAAGAAGTGAATCAGGCACAAGGGAAGAAAAAACCATTTTACGTGCCGGCAAAGAAAAGTCCAAAAAGGACGATAAGAAGAAAACCGACAAAAAGAGGAAAGATGACAAAACGAAAAAGGACGAGAAAAATAAAATAGACGACAAAAAGAAAAAGGACGACGAAAAGAAAAAGCAAGACGCAAAGAAAAAGGAAGACGAAAACAAAAAGTTAAAACAAAACAAAAAGGATGATAAAAAGAAAGGAAAGAATGATAAGACAGAGAAGGATAAAAAAGATACAAAAACGAAGACTGTTGAAAAGACAGGAAGAACTAACCATGAAATGACAAAAAGAGAAGGGGATGACAAAAAACCGCCTTCAAATGACGGATTCAAACCCATTTATGATATAGAAGAGACATTTGACGGTCGCATATGTCCCCTAGACTGCCCAAAAGCGTATAACCCAGTATGCATAACAGCAAATCGGGGCTATGGACTGTACTTAAAATACTTGACATTTGTAAACCAATGCACTGCATATCAATATTACTGCAAAAACTGGAGAAGTAAGAATATTCATTTTATCTTATTTTTATGAAAGAGTCGTGTGCGTGGTGGTAACTGACCACGACATTTGCTCGACAGCTGCTCAGAGCTTTAAATCGCAAAGAAGTGAGAAGCATTGCCACTGCACTCAACACCCTGATACATAAGTTGAAAAGTCCCATGTGCCTGTACTGTGGCACCCTGTAGGACTTCGAGTATCTGAATTTTCAGAAACCGGTACCACAAACGTTGCTACGTTACTGGTACTTGAGACGCTATTGCGTCCTGATTTTGATTCAAATAGGAATCGATCTGAACGGGTAGTCACGAAATCAGATGGGTTTCTGAGCGAGAAGGTGAACCTGACTCCTATTAAGTATATCTTTCTAATTGTGAGTTAAATCAATTATTGTTCCGATTAGAAATGTCAAAAGTTTCCGATCGCGATTATGCGCTTCGACTGGCAATGCGCGATTGCGAATGAATTTGATATTCGACTCGTTAGTAATCGCTAATCCTGCCATTCGAATGTCAAATTAGTAATTTTCGTAATCGAATGATTTGATTAGTAATACTAATCCATGGATTCCATAGAGCATTTCTGCTCGTGATCATCTAGCCCTCTCTGACATATGGTAAATACTGTAAATATGACAGGGACAGGGATATTTCGTGGAATGAGATGTTCCCATATAATAATAAGTCGACTCCTACACCCAACCGAATGCAATTGGCATTCGGTATTGTTAATCCGTAGACGGCGAGTGAACATTCGACTCGAATCATGATTGTGCTTGGATACGACTTAGGCGAATGATTTGCCCATTCGAATGATTAGTATTAGTAACATTCAAAGTCGCGCATCGCTAGCCTCGACTCGGCAAAGACGCAGTTTCCGATCGGGAGAGGCAATCATGATAGAGCTGCTGGTATAAATTATACTTGTATTTTTAGGAACCGTACTTCGACTCTTCGAATTTTTCTTTTTATTTAAGGTTACGATAATTACGAAATGTTATTATTATATTATTTATTGGAGAGGAAAGGCACAGATTACATTTAATGAAAGGAAAACAGAAACAAAAGGTACTGCTTATTTCTATAAGAAATTTCTTCCTGCAGACCAAAATACAGGACACAATAATTGCAATAACGGGCTTACGTGCACAAAAAACAAAATTATGTAATACAATATTAATAACATTAAACTGTTATAAACTAGATGAAGACATATTTCATAATAAAATACCTATAAATGGATGGAACAGTAGATAAATAATGATTTTTAACTCTCAATTTACAAGTTGCTAATAATAATAATATGTACTTTCGTTTGTAATGTTTAATGATTAAAAAGAAACTAAAAATGTTTAATGATAAAATTAATAAAAAAAGAACTAACCTTTCTTTAGTCTGGGTGGATTGGCCTTATTATAAAAATAAAGCACGAAAGAAATAAAGGTAGGCCATACAACTATTTCTCCCGGCCCGGTAATCGAACCGGGGTTCTCTGCGTGGCATGGCAGTCCGGCATGGTAACCGTTCGGCCACAGAGGCATTTATTGAGCTTTGGCTACTGGGCCATCAGCTTAAAACTACACTAATAATACTAATTCTTATTTATTTATAGAGCATTGGCTATAGAGCCATCAACTTAAACTGGAAATAAATAATTAAGAAACTCTAAGCTTAATACTCTAAACTTAATAATACAACTAAAAAATAATTTGTGAAAAATCTGTAACTACATAAACCCGCCATTTTTTATTGATAATAATAACAAACTATAGTTGATTTTCTCCCGCAATATCGCAGTCCCGCTGCAATAATTTATATCCGAGTCTGAAGCGAGAAAATAATCTGACTATATTGGAGTACTTTCACAAAACAGATGAATTTACTTGGTAGTAAAAACACTGTTGCAAATATGAGCATCCGCATCCGCATCCGCGGATATTCTGCATAAATTAAAATATCAGCATCCGCATTCATCGATGCTGATATTCATTGTGGATGTTCGAGTCGTCACATGACCTAAAAGATACGTTGGAATAATTTACAAATCTTCCAGAAACAAACTGTAAACCAAAAAAGCTCAGCCGTTCATTTTAAAATATAACTTTCATAAAACTCCAAAACGATTAAGCTAGACCGATTGATTATTTTCATGGAGATTGATTCTTTATATAAATGTCACAAAATCATAGAATTAATATTATAATTATTACAATACCAAAGAAAATAAAAAGCTTTTTCATGTAGATAGATTCAGTAAGGATGGACATTTTTAGCATTTTTTTTAACACATAATATCAGTGTCCGCTGATGTTAATGTCAAAAATTTAGCAACCGCATTAGCCGAAGTGTAAAAAACCTGCATCAGCAACAACCCTAGTAAAAACATCATGATATTCAATAAAAGTAAAAACGTTTTTCATGATTATAGTATTCGGTCCACCACCAAAGTCAGTAGCCGAAGAAGAAGAAGAGAATGTGGATGCATCACCTCTTAGCTGGTCATTCTGTGGATCATCAAGGTAAAATAAAATTTAAATGATATAATATTGAACCCGAAGATTAAAAAGAACGAAACATGCTTTACCTTCCAAAACATTTGAAAACCTAAGACTGCTTATTTCCTTACACCCGCTGGTCATTATAATTTTGAGATTATATTGCAATTATGATAAGTTATATTTATTAGAGTGCTAATCTAGTTGTTGATCTCTCAATAGAGTGGCGGTGATAGCATTCATAAATTGATTCAATCACTAACGATCGATGTTACCTTACTAAAAGTACCATGGAAATATGCATATCTTATTGTCTCATTTAAATAGCAATTGCGTGGCTTATTCCAGCGTGACCATGGTCGAGTTATTGAAATTTAGTCAGATAAAAATTCGCCATTTAGTCAGTTCTAGTCGCAAAAAACTAGATTGAGTCGGTCCGCTGTTTAAGTTATAAGGATGTTTTACTGTCTACAAACATGTGTATACAAACTCTGACTAAAAAATCAGCTTTGAAATGATTAGGTAGGGTAGCATGTCTAACAATGAAATACAAAAATTTCAAACATTCACAGTTCTGTTATTTTTAAAGTCAATGGTATTTTTTTACACAGATAGTCAATTTAATTGAGCATCGAATGTCATAAACAGATTTCTTACACAGTTTATAGATAATCTTTAATAAGGTTTATTTCTTTAATGGGAAATGTTTCATTGTGTCCACAGGTATGTACACAATAAAACACCTTATATTCAACAGTGAAACAGGGTAATTATTTCGTTATTTTTGTAATTATGGGAATAAATAAATAATAAAACTATATAAAATTTTTAAATATAAAAATGCTTTAATCTACGTAATCTTTTCGAACAGAATGGTTACTCTTAATCACAAGAGATAGTACATAATGAAAGATTGTGTCCATGCCACTGTTTCATTGTAGACTACCTAGGTTGCGTCACAATAAACTAAAAAAAATATAACTAAATTTAAATGTTTTCATTTATGAACTAATCCCCGTAAATCTATGAAACATGAACGTACAATACTAAGCAATATTTAGCAATACGGGATTTCTAAGTATAATTAACTAAGAAAACGATGAAATTGCAAAAAATACTTACTTTTTGGCCAATAAATAAAAAAAGACTCTGTAAAAACGTTCTTTGTGACGGACTCGCTGAACTGTACTAGGGGGGGGGGGTTCCGCGAGTGTATCCTTACACGCTATTCTGCAATATTTGGTAACGTCGCATTTTCAAATTATCGCGGTGTTTCATTGTTGGACAGGTTTATTATGGTGCTTTACTGTCCACCCTGGAATAAGTTTATTCCGGAGGCATCATTTTTGAATCTCGAGAATCACAGCTCCTAGCTTAGATTTGACTGCACCCAGAAAAAGTGGTGAATTAGTCGGTTCTACTCGCGGAATTTTAGAATTAGTCGCTCCTTTGTTTAGACGATATTGGATATTCAATTATTTTCATTGATAGGTTACGTAGAAAAAATAAGCATGTGTTTATTCCAAGCAGTGTGCATCCGTGGATAATCTGCATAAATTAAAATATTAGCATCCGCATTAATCGATGCTGACATACATTGCGGATGTTCAAGTCGTGACATGATCTAAAAGGCACGGCAAATTATTAAAAAATTTACAACCCTTCCGGAAACAGACTGTAAGCCGAAAAGCAGTTCAGCTGTTTAAAATATAACTTTGATAAAATTCCACAACGATTAAGCTAATTAAATGTCACAAAATCATTGAAATAATATTTTATTACAATACCCAGTGACCAGGCCACGTAGTCAATACCAGCTGCCCCTTGCCCGCGCATGAAAATCCGTTCAGTAGTTTTTGAGTTTATCGCGATCAGACAGACCGACAGACGCGGTAGTGATATGTACTGATTATACGTTACAATACGTTGTACACATGTAACATCTATATTTTATACATAAAATGTACGAAAGTGATTTAGGAAGATTATTGTTGTACGATGCAGTGCAGAGCGACCCGCCATGTTGTGCGTGGGCTTTTAGAATATTTAGGTACGTACTTTGAGTTATTTATTATTATCATCAGCGAATTTTTTGTCACGATTGGCCGCCCCTAAAATCCAGCCGCCCTAGGCACGGGCCTACTGGACCTTAGGGCAAATCCGCCACTGACAATACCAAAGCAAATAGAAAGCTTTTTCATGTAGATAGATTGAGTAACGATGTACATTTCTCGCGTTTTTTTTATATACATACATAAATTCAGAATTCGCTTATGTTAAGTTCAAACATCAGTATATGCATCTGCATCCGCTGATATTCGAATTGATTTTAACAGGTACTTGTCGTTCGCGCGGTTCGCCGAAGTGGCATCCTCTATGGGGTACTACGGATGGTTGGCAGGAGACTACAAAGCCACACATATCATGGAACCACGTGAGAGAATACCAGGTTATGGAAGGAAGAAATAAATAGAAGCTTAAATGGTTAATTTATAACTTTGAAATGTTTTATGCGGTGTATGTTCGGCAGTTGTCTGCAGAAGTGGGCGTTTAAACGAAAAGCACTTATAAAAGTTTGCTTTTTAAAATAAGCACATAAGAAAGCTTTTTATTTTAAGCGTAAGCGTTGGTCAATTCTATACTCAACAAATGTCTCTTCATCAGCGAGTGTCAGGGTCGTATTTTAGAACTCTACTCAATGCTCAAGTCAGGATTTGAGTATGGTTTAAAGCACTCGAAATCATACTCAAGTCCCTGCCATTAAGGTCGTATTTCCAGTGCTTGTGTTTCAATTGCAATCCTGACTTGAGCATTGAGTAGAGTTCTAGAATACGACCCTAAGTTTCAAGTCCCGCCATTTAAGTATTCGTAAACAAATTAATTCGTCATTGTGAATAATAATTTTATAAATAAAAATAAAAGTTGTGTTTTACAAATAAATACTTAACATAGAACCTTTAGTGGTCTACTCTTGCTTTTGACTATCAACACGTTGCAAGCTTTTTTAACATAAGTATGCGCTTAAGCGATTATCTAAACGATTTTGTAAGCTTCAAACTAAAAAGCGTTTAGGTGAAAAGCGTCTTAAAAAAGCTATAACGTTTAAAAAATAAGCAGTTTTTCCCATTTCTAGTTGTCTGACACGTTCTTTTCTTTTGCGTGGGAAGGAGGAAATTCTTATGGATGCCATAGGTCTTGACCACAGACATATATCTAGATAGACGCCGCAAGTATACGTACTTTGCGTGCAAGCAAGTGAAGCCACTGCTACACTTCAGAACGCGCTCGACCGTTATCGTAGATAAACACCAGTCGAAAACGCGAAATGCATAATTGTGCCATTATTAACTGCAAAAGCACCATAACAGTGGGTAAATGGGTAAACAGGGACGTTTCCTTCCACGGGCAAGTGATATAATCAGAAGATGCATGATTTATTTTAAAAACAATTATTTTGGTTTTGTATGAATTTCGAGAAAACAAATATGCAACCTAGTGTATGCTTCATTATTTGTAATACATTGCGGCTTTTACTTGGCGAGATAGATTTGTGATCCTTTGTTAATACGCCTTGAATATCGAACGAACGCACTTTTATATAATGATTTCAGTTTCGTGGTACGGCCGCTTGTACATTTCTTTGGCCAAATTTAACATTTAGTGATGTATACGTTAGCCAACACCACAGACCACATAAATACTAGTAATAGACTGGTTAGTGGACGGGGTCCGCGTTATCTAGCTTATGACCAGACGGGCATATGAGTGTCAACAGCGCATCAGTCGTCGTTCAAATGTGATACATGATTATTTTGTGGAAAAATAGAAATATGCCTTTATATTATGTCGCGTAAGAAGTGAGTTTAAAAAATACTCCGGCAGTGATTTCCTTCCATCGGTAAGTACTAAAAGTCTGTATTTTCTAATATTTTGAACAATACAATCATTGACTTACAATTATATGGACGTCGGGTCCGCGCTAAAAAGTGTCCGAACTTATAGGGCGTTAAAATCGTATACAGAGCGTCATTCACGCTCTAGTCTTCGTTTGTTCGACTGACAGCGAAGCAAGCAAAATTAGACAGTACTGCGATGACATTACAATTTAAATTCAACGTTTTAGCTTTTTCATATTCCTTGACATGTCACTACGTTTAAATAGGTTGACTTCGGACATTTTTTTCGTGGTTTTTGTATTAGACCCGTCGTCCATTTATTTGTAACTCAATGAATACAATACTATAATTTCGAAACAAAACTATTTTCTTGCAATTCGGTAACAATATACATTGGTTGCTAGCCATCGCCGCCATCAAAAGAACTATTCGAATGACGCTCAATGAATTGCTTGCACTAGTGTCGTGTCACTTGGTACTGGGTCCGCGTGTTGTAATCAAATTATCGATATGTAGAAATTCTGTATTTAGAAACTCGATTCTGGTTTAGTTCAACTTTTTTTTTATTATAGCGGTAACAATGTGTAAACATAAATTGTTTACAGGTATTTAAAAGCTAACAATTTAAGTAAAAACGATGTATTAATTGAAAAAAAAGGAAATATAGACAGAAGAGGTACAGTGTCGATAATTTTACAATGCACGTAAGTTCGTTGAAGACAAATGAAGACTTTATGAGATTGGAGATTTTCTTTCCCTTATCTACATGATTCCCATCTCCCTACTTGCTAATTATACGTCACCTTCGTCCGCTTGAGTTCTTAGTTTTAGCACAGGCATGATTTACATTTGCAGTTTTTGTATTGATTTTTTTAGTTTCCCACCGGATCCTTTTTAAAGGAGGAATGGACTGAAGCAACAGGCAGTAAAAATTGGGTACCTACCATAGATTTAGTATATAGGTACCCATAGATTGGCAATGCAAGTGAAAGAGAGTTAGTATACACGTATGTTAGAACGAGATGGGTAGACGAGACCACTTCATTATAAGCTATGAGGCTATATGAACCTAGGGTCAGCTGACAACGAAACAAATTTCGTTTATTTTTGAAAAATAATTGGTTTTAAAATGTGAAATAGTGTTAAACGAACGTTTATTAGTCATTGTAAAGTTTTCAGTGTCCGGATGTAACTTATCTAAAAAGGAAAACTCGCTGAATTGTACATTTCACATGTAAGTACTATTTAAATTTTTAGCTGTCTAAAAGCACTACCACAAAAGTTTTATACTTAAATATATCCGTAAAATTATACCATTCAAGTGCATTAATAACCCAAATGTATACGAATTCAATTAAAAAATATATCAAATACGTGAATTTCTGAAATTCATAACCCCACTTTCATAGAGATTGACGCAATCGATAATATGTTATCGAGATGTCATTAACTGAAAAAAAGAAAGGCAAAGGCGTGACTTGCATACAGCCGAAATCATCTTCATACTTAATTTTTTTTTATTTATTGAATCAGAAATTTCTGGATTTAGTACTTTATATTTAATTAATATTGCATTAGTACATTATATTTTGTTTACATTAAAACGAAAATTTCTTTTAATAGCATAGTTGAGGCACCCATTTTTTATGTTAATTATTGTTGTTGATTCAGATTTCCTCAAAACATTGAAGTACGACAGAAATGGCTTATAAAGCTAAAGAAAGAAGACTTTTGTTAGCTTCGATGTCCACTGGTGGCGCCACCGCCATCCGCACATGAAGCCCTCGACCAATAGTGTATTTGTAATTATATTACAAATACATTTAATAAATATAACTAGAAATTATTGTAAATAAAATGATAAATAATTATTAATTTCTCACAATCCTAGAATTACTAATTAGAAATGTATTATGTGAAAAATTATACAACGCCACTTAGTTCAAGATACTACTAGAATTAAATTAAAACTTCCTCTTAAAATTGACATTCTTGTTTAGAACTGATAGCTTGATGATAGTTTGATGCTGTGTTCGATTTATTATTAATTCCAAATAGCTTTTCAATACGTAGTTTCTCATCTATGTACAAAGATTTTGAATTCTAGTATCTAATTGATTTTTGGAGAGGAATAAGTATAAATACGAGTTGGCGCCATTGTAACAACACATTATCGTATCAATTATTAATAGGGTGAAACTCTGCCCGAATAAATACCAAAATAACGACATTTTATTTTCATTTCGCTTGTCCGCCATCCTGTACTGCTTTCGTTACACTTTCCAAAAAGTTTTCAAAAATATGCAGCAAACAAACACGTTGAGGAAAAATGCTTTTAAATAAAACGCCTTTAGAGGCAAGCAAAGAGTAAAGCTACGTTCTGGTTCTGTACCCACATTATTCATGCGGTATGTCTTACAATTAATTGATTTTTGTGTAGCACTACTCTCATCAACAAGAAATCAGCGATTTATTGTTGTTAGAGTTCTGTTCTGTTCCAAAATACGATACTGATTTTTTTCAAATTTGGTACACATATTCATTTGTGTGACCAAAACGTGCAACGTAAATAAATTAATTCTAAATTTTTAAGTCACTATTGGGAGGGAAAGTTCTTAAGAATATATATTTTTTGTAATTATGAAATATAAATATTTTTAAGTTGTTTAAGAAAATAGACAAAAATTGATCATTCTACCCTTTATCTTCGAAACTACAGAGCCTAAAGTTTTGAAAAAATACAGAAATTGTCTTTAAATTTCCTACTATTGCGCGAATAAACCTATATTTGCTGTTGGAATCTATTGGAGAACATATTCTTCAACTACAATGTTAAGTTTGTACCGAAACCTCTCCGCGCGAGTTGAACTCGCACTTGGCCGGTTTTTTGGTTCTATTACTTATCTGCAAATTCACTGCTGTGATGCACTTCTATGTTATCATATCATACAATAATTATAATAGTTATATTTGTTTGTAGGTTGCGGTCGTCAGCTTGGTTCGTGGCCTCCATACTATCGCACCGTAACTGATCATGGGTCTTATCACCATTTTGTAGAGCCATAGTGTTATCTTGGGTGAAAGTCCCCATTGTTTACCTACGATTCTTTGGCACTACCAGAAGGTGATAGTAGCTTTCTTAATTTTCTATTGAATCATTAATTAACTAGTTAATTAACGTCTCGGTATTTTGCGTTAAGACATTTTGGTGAATACAACGAAGTGAAATGCCGGTGTAATATGTTAATCGATATTAAAGTTAAATCAGTGGATGACGCAACACTATTTATCTTGCACACATGCACATTATACGCACACAGATGTATTTTTGTTTTGGTCTCGTCTCCAATACGTCAGGGCCAATCTATGGATATACTAAATCTATGGTACTATAATCGAGTCCGCTGTAGCTCAGACGCATTGCGAGAGGTACTTTTAATAATATAAAACGGGATTAACTTCAAACCCCTTAGTGTCTATAGTACCATTGATTTGTACCATCAATGGTACAAATGATACTACTATGTGTCCTTAGTACCATCAATGGTACTACCGATACTAGCACGTGTCGCTAGTACCATTGCATCGAAATCATACAAAAAATATATACATATAATAGGGGTTTAATAGTAAATAAATAATTCCAACAATTCATTGAGGAAAAAACCTTCTTGGCTGTTTCCGCTACGTTTAAGTGCTAGATTAAATCCCGGCCACTTCAAAGATTACAATCTTCTTTTAAATAACTCATTGGAAAGCATCTTGTCTTTTGCCGTAAACAAATGATTACATTGACATTATAAGTAAATGTATTAATTGTGGGATGGATTATGTGTTTTTAATTAAAAAAAACGTATTCAATTCTAAACCTAAGGGATAAAATGGATATTAGTAATGAAAAACCAAATGTGAGCAGTGACCAAAATGATATAAAAATAGTCGCTCGTGGACGCGGCAAAGTGTTACTCTACAACGGCCACCAATATTATTTCCACGTGCGGTATAAAAACAACAATTGTTTGTGGAGATGTAAAAATTACAAAACCTTTAACTGTACTGGATCCGTTACGATTACCCAGGTAAAGTTTTAAAAAAAAAAGTTAATTAGCTTTTTTTATTTTTGCTTAGGGTCAATTCATGTTTAAGCTAATTTCGACCTTATTGGCATTTTGTAACTATAATGATTTTTCACACTTCTTTGATTAGTTCATTTTTGTATTAATTAGGCTGGTTGTTTCTGTGTACATTGTTTAGTGTAGTAGCCATTGTACATTGAAGTTTGCGTTGTGTGTGACATGTCCATCCGATAGGTATTTGTATATTTTTATTTTATTTTTAATTTTTACATTAAAAAAATACAAATTAATTGTAGCCGTACAAAAGTTCAAAAATTTAGTATCAATTTCTGTTTACTCCAGGATCAGTCAAAGTTGGTACAACAAAGGCAGCATTCAGAGAACTGTTTACCAGACGAAAATGAAAACATTATGTGTATTATCACAAGCTCAAGCTTAGACAGAGCAGCATCAAATGTCGAAGAGACAGTACCTGCGGTTTACAGAACTACCATAGCATCAATGAAAGATACAGGACTACACTTGATTAAGAAATTACCCACGTATAACAAATACAAATGCAAAGCATACAGAAGAAGAAGGAAATTGGCAGGAGTTGAGAAGATGGCATACAATGACATGAAAGAAGTTGAAGTGCCTCCAGATGACTTCCTTCTTGCTGATTACCGTGGTGGCAACGATCGTATCCTGATTTTTGCTCTAAAAGAAGCGAGGGAAATTGTGCTTAACGGAAAAGTGTTCTTATGTGACGGGACCTTCAAGAATTGCTTGAAACCGTTCTATCAGCTTTATGTACTTTTTTGTGATATAGGCAGCACCGCAAATGAAAATAATGTGATTCCTGTAATATACGCACTCCTACCGAATAAGAAACAGAAGACTTATTTGATTATGTTTAGTTCAAACAAGTCACAGATACGGATGTCTACAAACGAAAAAAACTGGGAATGGGAACCCCATAAATTTATAACAGATTTCGAACAAGCGGCAATAAATGCCATTGAACGTGCATTTCCCCAGGTGTTACATCACGGTTGCTACTTCCATTTCCTGGATAAAATTAAAAGGAAAGCTACGCAACTTAAAATCCTACATAAATTTAAAAAAAATAGTAACAAAAACTTAAATAAAATAGTGAGCTTGTGCATGGTTCTCCCTCTTTTGCCAGAGTCCAAAATAGAAGAAGGTCTGAATTATATAATTGCAGAGAGTGTAATTATTGGTACTACAAAAGAAGTTAATGATTTGTTAAAGTATATAACACATTTTTGGATGCCGAAAAAAGCACAGTGGTGCAGTTTTGGCGAGAGACATCGAACAACGAATTGTTGCGAAGCATGGAACGGTCAATTTAACAAGCGTTTTATGAGAAAACCTACCACAACATGCCAATTTCTAAAAGTTCTAAAAACAGATGCTGCATACCATTCCGTAAATGCTTTGACAACAGAGCCACAAAACTTAAGATCAAAAGCGGTGATCGACCGCAACAATTACATTCAACACGTGCAAATGCAATTAATTCAAGGCGACATTACAGTCGCATTGTTTTTAGAAAAATTGCGTCGTTAGAAAATGTGAGTTTTATTTTCACAAGTAAATACACGGTATAAACAAGTATAATTTTCAATGGTACTAAGGACACATAGTAGTATCATTTGTACCATTGATGGTACAAATCAATGGTACTATAGACACTAAGGCCTTCAAACTTTGGTTTATTTTACCAATTTTACATATTTTATACTTTTGGGTTACGAAACAATCATCTTAATATGTATGTCAAGACCTTTCCTTGTTTTCTTAGCGTTCCAAATACAAAAACTATAATTATTATCTATGTTCAGCCAGCAATTCTACTCATAGAGTACAGCCTCGTCTACATCCCTCTTCCTCACAGCTGAAGGGGTGAATATCCCTAGCTAGTGCTCTACCTATGATAGGCAACATACATAGTGATCAGCCTTTACTACAGACTAGCCACACACTGCTCGGAAGCTATCAACTTACCAAGTAAACCACCGAGGAGGCTATGGCTTTGGTCTGCCAAAAACCTATCTAAAAGGACAGACCATGATCACATCCTAAACAAACAAAAAAAATATAATTACTCGTTAGTTATCCTAGCTAATTAGGGAACCTGACTAAACCCTAACACTTTATTTTATCGACCCTAAACTGGCTGAACGACCCTAATAAAAATTCTAAACATCACTACAAGTTCCTAACTATCTCAGCCTAAGCTATCTCCAACGTGGATGCTGCTACAACGACGACACAGGCTTGAACACCCATCGGACGATCACTGGGTTACATCACTATTGATCTCCCAGCTGCCTTAGTCCTCATTTTGCAGCTATCACGTTCCATCAGCTTCACTTACAATCTTTAAACAAACAAAAACCAACCCACGTATAACGTCAACAACATATTCTAACTACATATTTCCAAGACACATATGGTATGAGGGTATACCACATGAAGAATTTCTAATAATTAAATAAATATATTTTCCCAGAATGCAGACAGTCCTTGATCAACTGGAGGATGAGCATGAACTATTCGCACATACAGGATAATATATCTATCAAATTGAAAAAGGAAAACACGATTCACTATGCCCCTGTCGCCTATAATAAAATTCTCGGGCGTAATCAATTTGTGAGGGAAATTCCTCTCTCAACCTCTGTGCAATCACATCATACGACACGTACGAAGAAGAATACGTTTTGTACCATTGCAGAGCTGGCCCCTCCAAATACAATGCAAACACGTATTTCTTCTGCACATCAGACCAATTATTTAATATACTAATGGTCTCAAATTGGTTCAAAAACTCATCTACGTCGTTGAATCCATTAAACTTTTGCGCCGACATATTATCATACATATTTTCTCCTCGCACTTTTTACTGGCACCAAATAAAAATTAATATTAAATAAGTATAAATATAAATTACGACCTTTTATTACGCATTCCTGGTGGCTTTGTCGTAACAACATATAAACATTTTTCCACGATGGACTTTTCTTCATCGGATCCTTTCATCAATCGTAAGCTTGCGTCTAACATTTGCAGGCTTCAATTACATTATATTTCTTCTTCGTAAAAACATATAAAAATATTTTCCAACGGCGTTCGTGCCTCCACCATTTATAATCGAGGGCTGTAGCTCAGATGCATTGCGAGAGGTACTTTTAATAATATAAAACGGGATTAACTTCAAACTTTGGTTTATTTTACCAATTTTACATATTTTATACTTTTGGGTTACGAAACAATCATCTTAATATGTATGTCAAGACCTTTCCTTGTTTTCTTAGCGTTCCAAATACAAAAACTATAATTATTATCTATGTTCAGCCAGCAATTCTACTCATAGAGTACAGCCTCGTCTACAGTACCTACTAAATGTAGCACCATTTGCTATATAGGCATTTCATGACATCACATTAAATTATGTACATATGAATAGCAACCGAAAAATTCATTAAAAAATAAATCATTTGGTTAATCAGGTAATATATTCACAAATTATAGACTACATCTAAATTTGAAAACATGTCTGAAGCATCGTCAGTTATTTTTCGTCAAGTTTTCAGGAAACAAACGATTCGCTTCTTCGACTTCGGAAATAAGTATCTTCATTTTCTTGACAAGCTTGTCGACGCCATAGGTGTAGTCATGTTCAAACAGCTCAGAAAGAGGTAATTGTTGATCAAATATATCATATTTCAGGGAGAATAAAGATTTTTATGGTGACTGTTTTAATATTACAACCCTTCCTTTGATCCAACCAGTGATCGGATTGACTTGAAATCTAGTAGGTTAATGAAAGTACGATGACAGTATAATAAATCAGTAATACTGTAATTGTAACATGTAGCTACAGGCACGCACATGCCTGCGTAGGTTATATCAATTAATATTTGCGTGTAGTAAAACCTTATGCGTATTTGGTAACAAATGTGTGCGTGTAAAAATCAGCTACGCTAGTTCGCGAAGCAATTGCTTTAAATGCCGTTTCCATATACTCCGTGGTCAACCCTAATCATCGAGTATATAACCAACCCAAGAAATAGAGACGAAATAAGGGCCATATATTCCTGGTAACACATTAGCGATACAGCTCTTATAAATATCAACTCTCGTTTGCACTGAAATATAGACAGGCCAACTACTGACCTGTGTGTACGTTATTTAAAATATATTCTGTATTTATTGTAATAAAGATAAGATCTCTAACAATGCCGTGCTGTTCTATTCGGTGGTGTGGGGAAAACAGCAAAACATCTAATTACAAAACAAACACAATCACATTTCATCGGTAATTAAATATTAAATTTGTAATTTTGCAATTTTCGTCCATTATAGCAAAGCTCAAGTTACTAGTCGATTTGAAGTGAAACAGTTGACGACACCCGTCAATTGTTTCGAACTCGGGCTGGCCAATCGGAGCGCAGTTGTCACAGTAATGATATGGCAGTATAGTTTTCAAATAAATTAAATGACATTTCGTCTCTATTTCTGGTTACTCGATGACCCTAAATATAGCAAGTGTAAAGCAATGCCTAGTTCAATATTCCGCTAGTTATGAAACATAATGTCTATATCAATTAAATGTCACATCCCTATCTGTAGATTGTCAACTTTTTGCTTTTGTTCTTGTTCCAAGAAGTTTGTGTTCATAGGATTCTTAGCTTTTATGTGACTAGTAATAATAAAACCTTATTAAATCCAAATAAGTTTCAGTTTTTTTACCAAAAGTTATTTATTATTGTTTATTTTCGTTTGATAATTTATAACCAATCAAAATTATGTTATCTTAGTACTAATGTAAGATTACGTTTTCAAATGTGTGCGTGTGGTGACACCGGTTTTGATACAAATGTTGCTTGATGCCATTTTCATTGTTTTTTCTTCCGTGGGCAACTGTTCTCGATACTGATCGATTTTAAAAATAAAGGGACGAAAGTTATTATGACCTTAGCGATATTATAAAAATATTCTATAACTCTTTTGTTAACAACGTTTAGTAATGTTTCGTTTTTTTTCCAGTTTTGTAGTATATCTAATTTCGATAATTTTTGTACCACGTTGCCTCGAATGTCCGAATATAGTGAGCAAATAATTACATACATCGCCGGATATGTAGTACGAGTAATACAAAAAAATATATAATGCAAAACAGTGCGCTGTCTTTACAAAAACCTGGAGTTGGTCATACGTATGAGTTTGTTGCGTTCGAGGACGAAGGTGGTTTAGTTTATCCCACCTAAGGTGCTATTCAAATGTGCAGAGTAGCAGAGTTAGAAATCCGAGAAATAATAAACAGATCACAAAAATTTCACACGAGGTCGTCATTAAGTAAACCTCTTTTTAACCGACTTCAAAAAAGGAGGTTCTAAATTTGACTGTTTTTTTTGTATGTAGTTACGCGATAACTCCGGTATGGGGTCGGTTGTGGGGCTGGTTGGGGGGCCGGTTGGGGCGGTCAGGGGTGAGTACCCAACCCAAGTTTCACCCACCCTCTAACCGACCACCTAACCTACCTCCTAACGCACCCTCTAACCCACCCCCATATGCCCTATAAATTTATCATAATTGTCAGTTTTAATTGTTAATTGTTAATCAAAAACATTGAAAATTGACTAATTGTTAATTGTAGATATACGCGATTAACGATTGATCAATTGTTAGTTGCGAGAACCGCAAGTAACAATTGATCAATCGTTAATTGCTGTTTCGCAATTGACAATTAATTAATTGTCAATCTTTAATTGCCAGAACAATTAAATTTTGCCCAACACTGGTCAGTACAGAGTACTAAAAAAACCGACCTTAAAAGTTCGTGGAATTATATCTATTTACGAAAGTACGCGAAACCGGATTCATCCCTTAGTTTCCCACCCTGTAGAGGTGGAATATTTTCTTCAAATGTAAGTGGGACCACTACTGAGGTAGCCTCTTTACACTAAAAAAGAATCATCAAAATCTGTTCACAAGTTATCGTGTAGCATATATACAAAAAACTTACATTCGAATTGAGAACCTCCTTTTTTGAAGTCGGTTAAAAAAAATAAAAGAAAATATTTTTTTTTTTTAAAAGAACTAGGCTTGTCTAGGCCGGGTGGATTGGTTTTGTAGTATATTTGTCGCTTTCGCGCCATTGTCTTTTTTTTTATTTTTTTTATAATTTATTGTCATGTGTCCTGTTTTGTCAAAGCCGAACATTTATCGTATCGAAAGTTTTAAAAGCTGGGACTGTCCCCGACTTCACGTAGTCACCTACAGCTTTTGCTGTTGCAGCACCCTTTAATCTGTTACTATTATTAACATTATTATAATTATTTAAATTAATAAAACCTCAAGACTTTTTTTTTATTTTAGCACACGTACTTACTTGCAAGGGCAAAAGAAAGAGAAAAAGAGAAGTAGCGGGCGAAGGAGAAAGCAATATCCCCGCTACGTTCCAATTCTCACAATTAGTATATTCATGGCATATTTGTACATATTAATATAAATACTTTTCAAATGCTTTTTTATTTCGATTTACTAAAATATTTGTATACTAATATTATATAAATTATAATATAATTTGATCTGAAACCATGTTCGGAAACGCAAGCAAATTCGCTTCTGCTTTTTCATACTAACCTAACCTACTGAATGGAGGGCGCAACCAAAATTTTACCTATATGAAAAAAGAGGACCAAACTTTGACAATCAAATATTAATTTAGTAAGCTTAAAAATAATGATAGTTTTGAATGCAGTTCATTTTTTATTTATCCGTAAATAATGTAATATACATGGAACATTTAATATATATATCAAATATAAAAAAATATATTGTTTGTTTAAAAAAGTGCACATTTACAATAGATCTATTGAGTATCAAATAATAATTCATTATTTTTTGAATATTTGTTACTCCATGATACCTAACTTTCTCAATATACTAACATCTACAATACTTTCATCTACTGTTTGTTCTGGATGGTGTATTAAATGCAATAATATTCTAGGTTTATTATTTGATGACCAGTCACAGGATGCACATTTGAATGTGGTAGTGGTGATTAACTTTGATTTTTGTTTGGACAGCTTAGGCTCTTCATCAAGCTCATGCTCTTCATGCCTGTGTAACGTCATAAGACTTTGTTTACAGGCGGCATAATCGCATAGTTTACATTGAAATCTGCAATGCCTATGCTTTTTATACAATTCTCGATCATCAAAGTACCTTTTACATACATTACATTCATACATTTTAACAACAGTGTTGTTGTGTACTTTGCGGTTGTGAGCAGTTAAAACTCTAGGATTACGGCCAATGAAGTCACAATGAGGACACTTTAAAGGGTTGTCAGGCCGGTGTATCAATTCATGTTTTTTTGTATTCTTCTTTGACGCACTACGGTAAGGGCAGTGGGTACATTTGAATGGCTTTATTCCTTGGTGTACATTCACATGTTCTTCAAATACAGCAGAATTATAAGTGGAATAATCACACATTGAGCATTGGTATGGGTTTTCTCCGCGGTGTACACGACGGATGTGACGTAGCATCTTCTCTTCTGTTTCTGCGGTGAAACGTTGACATTCTGGGCAGCGAATGCGGCGGTGCTGAATTTTTACTGACGGTGGGGTTGGTGAACGTTCTTTTTTTAGTGTAGTTCTGAAAATAATTGTATTTCTAGGTGAGTTTCTTTATATTACACCTCATAAAGAGCACCCAGTTATAAATAAATAAATAAATAAATAACGCACACACTCAACATAGCCCCGCACTAGGGAAACCCTGTGTCGCGGGTGCCATGGACACACACATAGACAACCACAAATTACATCCAAACTCACGAGAGAAATAATTGTAGGCCATACAACTATTTCTCCCGGCCCGGGAATCGAACCTGGGACCTCTGCGTGGCAATGGTGACCGTTAGGCCACAGAGGCAGTTAAATAGAATTATAACTTTTTTATAAAAAAAGAAATCAACCTCGTTCGTGGAATTACACCTATTTGCCAAGTTTTATTCAGCTTTGTTACCAACAAGTGCGCGAAAGTTAGTTTGCAACCCTTACAAGTGGAATATTTTCTTTAAATTGAAATGGGACCATTACTGAGGTACCCTCTTTCCAACAAAAAAAGAATGACCAAAATCAGTTAAAAAATAAGAGTAATCGAGTAACATATACACAAAAGATATACAATCGAATAAAGAACCTCCTCCTTTTTAGAAGTCAGTTATAAATATTGATACAATTTAAGGCTGCACTTCGACAAAGCAAATAAACATTGAGACTCTTCTTCTTACATGTAAGCTTATATAGAAATTTCTATGATATAATACATTGACCTACCAATAAATGGACATCGGGTCTAATACAAAAACCACGAAAAAAATGTCCGAAGTTAACCTATACAAACGTAGTGACATTTAACGAAGTATAAAAAACTAAAACATTTAATTTAAATTGTAACAATTTTGTCTTTGAAAGTCCAAGTACAAAGACACGACGCAAGCACATAGAAAAATTCGTGAGTTCCGTTGGTTCGTTCCGTGGCTTAGTTGGTATAGCGTCTGGCACGGTATGCAAGAAGACGTCGGTTCGAATCCGACCGGATCGAAGGAATTTTTTCTGAGTGTTCGATCTTTGTATTAATAATTAAATTGTAACGTTATTGCAGTACTGCCTAATTTTGCTTGCAACAATTTAAGGGCTCAAAACACCATATTCAGCTTCTACTGGAAACTTACCAAAATACACCATATTTAGCTTCGACTGAAAAATACTTGAACATAAGACTAATAGAGTAGCCTTTCTTGTAAATATTAATTAATTTTTATATATATTATTATGTCGAATTTTGTACAATTTCACTTAAGGACTATAATAAAGAGTTGGGCAGATACATACATACAAATATTACTACAAATGTAAAAATAAGCGTGTACTATAAGAAATGTACCGATATTCCAACTAAATGTAAACTCAAATATCCATAATTCTGAAAACTGTCGGAGTAATTTTGATGCTTTTCACAAAGCCAAAATTATTCGCTTTTGTTTTGTAATCTTCCTAAAAAAATACATTTGACGTTATGAAAATTCGAGTTACGTTATTTCGGGCAAATGTATTTTCTGACTTCTAATAGGTAATCCCAGGCCGTAAAACGAGTACAACAATATTTTGTTAGTTAATGCCATCGAGTATATAACCAGAAATAGAGACGAAATGTCATTTAATTTGTTTGAAAATTATTCTGCCATATCATTACTGTGACAACTGCGCTCCGATTGGCTAGCCCGAATTCGAAACAATTGATGGGTGTCGTCAACTGTTTCACTTCAAATCGACCAGTTAACTTGAGCGTTGCTATAATGGACGAAAATTGCAAAATTACATATTTAATATTTAATTACCGATTAAATTTGATGCCGTTTGTTTTGTAATTAGATTACTGTTTTTCCTACACCACCGAATAGAACAGCACGGCATTGTTAGAGATATTATCTTTATTACAATAAATACAGAATATTTTTTGGAATATAAGGAGACGTACACACAGGTCATTAGTTTGCCTGTCTATATTTCAGTGCAAACGAAAGTTGATATTTATAAGAGCTGTATCGCTAATGTGTTACCAGGAATATATGGTCCTTATTTCGTCTCTATTTCTGGTTATATACTCAATGGTTAATGCTAACGTTTAATAAAAAAATCATTTTAAAAATAAGATTAAAATCAAAGTGACTCTATAGTTTCTTTGTTCTAAATATTTCAATCGTTTGCCGTTCAAACAATTGAAAATGACCCAGAAGTTTATATAAGCTTTTTGAAACTGACCTAATGGGTCTTTTTCCATCTTTTGCGCATGCTAAATGTAGAAAAAAGACAGTTAGCTATTTGATTATTTTCTGTGCTTTTGTCATTTATATTTACGATTCATTTATATATAAATTAAATACTATAAAACTGTACAAAATAACACTTTTAAATGAGAACTATGATAATACAATAAATTAGTTTAGTGAAAATATGATACAAAATCCTGTTTTTACACTTTACTGCAGTAATTTTGACAAGTTATTATTATTGGTACTGCATGATTGACAACCGTGCTGTCAATCAAACAAACGAAGACTGTTGCACGATTGACGCTCTGTATGCGATTTTAACACCCTACAGGACACTTTTTAGCGCGAGCCCAACGTCCATTTATTGGTAGGTCAATGATATATAATTAATTATGAATACAAAAATTTAACACAACGAAAAATTCCCTCGATGCAACTGAAGTGTAATTAGCATCTACGCCTCAACATGGCCACCATTCTGCCAACTGAGCTACGGATGGAACCAGCAGACCTTTCGAACTTCTCTATGTGCTTATTGTGGACCTTTGTGATTTGTTCAAATGGCTTTTTTACTGTAATGCCACCTGTGACTATTTTTTTTAACATTGTACTGAAGTACCTCAGTTTATATGGAAAACACGCGCCATCGAACACACTGACAATGCTTCTGCGGTAAAACCGCACTCCCGCGCGAAAGGTCGCGGCGAACCGCAGGGTATGACACGATCCGCGCTACGGCGCAGATTTTTAAGCTTAAGGACATGTTCAGTTTTCTACAATAGATCTCGACATCGATACATTTATATTTGCTATTGAAAATTTACCAAATTTATCTTCATATTTTCATAAATCTTTGTAATGAAGTTGAAATTATCCATTTACCGATCTGGTTCATAAAAAGGGATGTATCAAATGTCTTCAGTGTCTTTTTATTTGACTAAATAAAAACCAAATAGACAGTATAACTGCAGTGAGTTCTGTATTATTAACAGTTCTTGTCAAAGAAGGATCTCGGCTACATATACAATCACTATGGCGACCAACTGCGAAGCGAGTGCTTTGAAGTGACGCGGGGTCGCTACGCCGCTGCCCCCGAATTTGATCCCCAGAATTTAATCGGTGAATTTTGATAGAAATAATCGATGATTGCCCACCATACTCCAATATACTTACTCTGTTTTCTCACTAACGTCCATTGTCTCCAGGTTTTCCTGGCTTTCTAGTACAACAACAACTTCTTCTTTTACATTTTCCGCTTGTACGTGATGTTGATCAGAATTTCGTTCTTCGCCATTATTTAGCAATTGTGTGTAGAGAATCGGGTACTGCTGCCCTGTGTTTACATCTACGAATATCGACCCACCGTCCATATTTAATTCTGACAAGATTTTATACAAATATCTTGAGAAAATATTACATAAACCTAAACAGGTTTAATGTAAACAAAACCTGCACTGCCATATTTGTTTGTAATTTGACGTAAAGTATCAATTCAATTGTCAAACAACAATAGGGATTGAAATTTTATAATCGATCGATTATAGATCATCAATATATTGCAAAAATAGTGCAGATCATGAATAATTCGTAATTTTGAGAACAACAAATATTTTTACGTATATTTTTCTTAGAGGATGGAAAAAAATTAAAGGAAAGGAGCTGCCCTAAGTACAGAATCAACGTGCATATTACCAAAATTTGAAAGTTACAAATGGCGGATTTCTTTAGTGTTGTACCATAATCTATCGATAAGTCATTATCGACATGCAAATGTATGGCTCGAATTTTTGTTTCTTTAGTTTACTGTAACCAAAGTATGCCTAAACAAACACAAGTCTGATAATTTAATCTCGAGTGGTATATTATTATAAATGTCAACACACATTTTTAAACTTCAAAAAAAAATTATTTTCAACATTACAACTGGTAACTTATTTAGTAAAAGTCACCAAACTGCTGTGCAGTTTGTTGGCGACATGCGCATTCTTGCTTAATTATACCTACTTTACTTGGATTTAACATTACGTAGTATTAATTGTACTTACTAAATAAAATATAAAAATTACTTTAAGAGGTACGCCTTTAACCTACATTTTAGTACATATTTACATAACGTCTTTTAACTAACCGTCAAGTACAAGTCTATTCAGGTTTCTGCGGATTCTAGTATTCCCGTTAATTCCCGGGCTTTCTTAAGCAAATGAATCTATCAAGCAATTTTAACACAGAAATAATGGAAGTAGTTGTAAAAATCAATTATCGGAAATCAACAATTATCATGAACTCTATACACGTTGGCGCTCGCCTTCACTCGGTCAGCTAGGCGAGTGACACCGAACAAGGCAAGGCAAGGCAAATAGGCTGTCTATACGTTGGTATGTTGTCATTGTATTGCAGGCTTTAAAAAAATAGTCATTTTTAATAGTTAGAGTTGTCATTGGGAAAAATCAGAAACGAGTGGATAATTTTGTTTTCAGGAACTGAGAATAGCTAGTAAATGAGTCTTGTTTAATCTAAATTGAACATAAAATTATTTACCAATAAACCTAATGATGGAATAGCATTGCCATGTAATCTAGTTACATTTAAAGTTCTGTTAAAATTTGACTCTTCAAAATGAAGCGAACAAATGAAGATGGTCTTTGATCCAACGTTTATATTCGGTAGTCCTATGATTTCCAACCATTCTTTCTTCCTTTTTTCATTTGTAGGAAAACTTGAAATAATAATAATAAAACAATAAAAATCTCATAGTGAATTGTTTTAATAACAGAATATCGATAATATGTATGCTTACAAGATCAACACTATCTCAAAATAATCGTTAACAACAATCATCAAAATATACAAACAAACAGGCAATCTAAAGTAACAAAAGCAAAATTTGGCAAGATTTATAAATAAACTACTTAAATAAGTCTAATTACATAAAATATTCGGGCTATTGTGTGATTTATAGACAAAAAAATAACACATGCCTGTGCAATGTAACATTCGATTGATTTGCAGTTTTTCTAAAGCCGCATCCTTTAATGCTGCAGCGTCGCATTTTTATTAATACCTAATTATTCTCACTGTCAATATTTTTGTCCAATTTAAATATAATACATGTGAATAATTCAATAATACATTTGGAAAAACATTTGTTTTGACATTTGATGTACTTCCCTTTGACAACGGTATCATGTACCTCATGTACTTGAAATGGCCACGGTTGGCATTTAAAATGACGTTACGAATTTTCGATTCCCGTGTTTGACACAGACCAATGTAATGCTATCTCTTTTGGCTTAAGACGGCACGTAATAGTTAAACAAAGACAATAATATGTTTATGTTTTCGACGTCGAAATGCATCATATACATATAACGTCTGATTTATATATGTCAACGTAACATGTCCTTTAGTTTCCATAGTCTAAGATATTTTTCCACATTTGACAGCTGATGCCTGTCAAAAGTTAAAGATACTGAACGAAAACGATGGAATTTATGAACAAACTTGTAGAAATTCGGAAGATTTTTCCAAAATAAAACGATTTTCGAAAAAATAGCATCTGTCTGGAGACTAAAGAACGCATAACTAATAAGAGTCTTGCCTCAAAAGATACGATTTTCTTTGATATTGAGGTCTTCTGAAAATACCCCAGTCCCGTCAGTGACAATGCATTTTAAGACAAACCTGTGTATCATATGAGTTAAAAGTTCCCGTTTTCTTGTAAAACATTTAATGCAAATATTACACTTGTACGTTTTCTATTCAGTATGAGTCTTCATACGTCTAATACAACTTGATTTATAAGCAAAAGATTTGTTACAGTTATCACACTTGTACAGTTTCTCTCCAGTATGACTCTTAATGTGCACAATACAACGTGATTTATAAGCAAAAAATGTGTTACAGTGATCACATTTATACGGTTTCTCTCCGCTATATGAGTCTTTACATACATAACAAAACTTGATTTATGGACATAAGATTTGTTGCAGTGATTACACTTATAATACGTTTTCTCTCCAATACGAGTCTTCACATGCTTAACACAACTTGATTTATAGCCAAAAGATTTGTTGCAATGATCACATTTATACAGTTTCTCTTCAGTGTGAGGCTTTAAATGTACAACTTGATTCAGATGCAAAAAAATTGTTGCAAATATGACATTTTTATGGCTCTTCTCTAGTATAGGTATGATTTTTAAGGTGCCGTTTTCTTTTAAAATTTTTATAACAAATATCACACTTGTGTGATTTCTCTCCACTATGAGTATTTAAATGCTCTAAACAATTGGATTTCTCAGCAAAAAAAATGGTTACAGTGGTCACATTTGTATGGTTTCTCTCCAGTATGAGACTTTAAATGCCTCATATAACTTGATTTATTAGAAAATAATTTGTTACAGTAGTTACTTTTATATGGTTTCTCACCAACGAATAATTTTTAAGGTCCTGATGATTGGATCACACTGGATGGACGTAGCGAAGGATAGAGTTAAGTGGGAGGAGTTAGAGGAGGCTTATACCCAACGAAGGATCCTTAATCTAAAATATAAATAATATATGAATCGACATTTACATCACACACCGAATATTGATACAACACCGACCGTAAGCGGATAATATGAAATTTTCAAAATCCCGCCTACAAAGATTCAGAGTTCCCGCTGGAATCCATAGGAGGCCAAATTTGACACTTATCATCGTGACACGAATAGGGATGTGGTATAGGGACTAATCATGTCGGTAATCACATTATACGATTTTTACGAGAAATCGATTTAAAATTTTAAGAGTTTGTAGTAGTTTAGATTATTTCTCGGTTCATTGTTGTTTAGTAGAGCTGGGTTAGAACGTCTTTGTCGAAAAACGAAACGAAACGGCTATTTTCTAAAAAGAAACGCTTTCCAGAAACAGTTACAAAAAAAAACGCTTTTCCAAAGAAAAACTAACCTCCCTTCGTACTTTTCCAGGCCTAGATAGAACTGGTTGACGAAATGTTCAGATGTACTGTAGGCGGTCTAATTTGTCATAGAAATATCAACAGAATGCATCTAGCAAAAGATCCATTTACAAAGATGTAGTGAAACCGTTTCGAACGGTCACGAAAGTTTCTTGAAACTGTTTTCGGGACTTTATTTTATAAAATGTAACCTAAGTTAATGCAATAAAGTCTTTTCTTGTATAACGCATGATTGGAACGAATCACGAACGAATGAACTGTTTTCTATCCAATCGCACAGAAGTAACGTAACGTGTTTGCAGAACGTAACGCCATTAACAAATTAGACCTGTGTTGGTCGATTTCTGTCGATCCGGTCCGATCATGACCCATGCGTAATGTGATCGGATCAAATGATTCGATCATATGTTCGATCTTTTAGCGTGTCACTCGTCGCTCACGATACTTCCATATGGCGTTTAAAAGTGTCAAATTATACAATTAGCTTTTATTCTTTCCTGCTGATGGATAATGTGAATAATTAAATGTGAATAATCATTGATAAACCACACTTAGGACACTAAAATTTCTTTCTAGGAAAAGCCTACAAAACAAAAAACTTATGAGCATTCAAAATTACTAATTTATTATTATTCATTAATATTTTAATATTAGCTAGTGCGCTCATAACATACCGAAAAACAGATTAATAAACTAGTACACGTAGTAGTATTATAGAAAAATAAACATAACATACCGAAAAACTGATTACTTTACAAAAGAAACTTACAAAATTACCATGTTGTGGACACTAAGCCATGGAGCAATTAGGAAGAATGATTGATAGACTCATTGATCCGTTAACCCGTTGATTCGTTGATCGATTGCTTGACTTTTTGGTTCGATCGCACGAAGGTTCTATCGAAAGAATGCTCTGTCAAACATATCATAACAAATGTTCGACCCAAACGAAGAGTGAGAAGGTGAATCGTGTCGTGAGTGGGGACTTCACGTGAGAGTGAACGAGACAACAATAATATTGTTAATTGTTAAATAATCTCTAAAATTATAGTGATAAAGTCGAATATTGCGCGCATGACCCATGAAACTCAAAAATGGTTGGGTTATTTAGAAGCTAGCAACCGGGTTATCGAGTCACATGTGCTGTTCGAACCATTTTGATTCGATCGAACACGATCGACACATGTCTACGATGGAGCCATTCTATAGCTTAGTTTTACAGATCTATGATTCTTTCTTTCGATGTTGTCCATTTTAAATCTCGGTTTAATCTAACTTGCTTTTAGCTATACAATTTTATTTTATAATTCACGCTAAATAAAACTTCAAAAGATAGTCGTAAACGTAGAATATAATAATTATGAGCCTTATTTTTCCAAATTTTCAGATTTTTTCCCGAGAAATAACTACTAAAAAATTTGCAAAAATCTAGATTTTATCGGTCCGCCGTTCAAAATTATAAGGGTGTTTTACTGTCCACACTGGAATGAGCTTTTTTCGGCAGCACCATTTTTGATTCTCAAGAATCACAGCTCTGATTACACTTAGAAAAAGCCGTTTAGTCGATTATAATCGCAAAATTTTATAACTAACGACGACGGCAAAACTAAATTTTATGCTAGGCTGGTGATGACCAGTACGACCACCGTATTGGGTTTAATGGGGTGCTTAATGTTGTGCTCTGAATGAAACAAATTTTTAAATAACTTTTTATTACTGACTATAGAAAAAGTTCTAACGTAATATTCTCTTTCAATATAATATTTAAAAAAGCAACAAAAACAATGCACATACTTAATTAAAAAATTAATAGTTAACCTTAAAGGATGGAAATCCATAGTCTAAGCTAAGCAATACACGGAGTCCATGGCGCCTGGTCTTAGAGGGTGGGAAAAAACCTGGTAGACTGAGAAGAAACCGTCAAAAGGCACAGACAAAAGCAATACGGAATTAAAAAAACCGGTTATTTCATTATCGACATATATTTTTTAATTTATTTAATAATTACAAAAACATTAACACGGTTTTACTTTACACTCTTAAACCTGAACAGATTTGTATGAGTGTTGTAATTTAAAAAGTCCAATAAAAAATGGAACATAGTTAAAATTTCAAGTCCGAGATTGTCTCGCCTTGACGCTGCATTGACTCAAATCCGCATCAACCCAAGACTACTTTCTGACTTTCATCTTAAACGTTACTATCATTTGGTAACAACCTCATAGCTTCTCTGTAACCAGTCTCACTGGCCCCGTGTACCGTGCCGAAATGCTTCTCATTAGTGGCTTCACCAGCGAACAGAACTCTTGGTTTCATGGCTGAGTCGAGGAGTGGAGCTTCGAGGTCTGAACGGGCTGTAGGGTGATTTGGGACATCCAGGTTGTCGTATGTGTAACTGCCACGGGTGAATGGGTTTGTGAACCATGTCGACCTGCGAGGAAAACTTCAAGTAATATTTGAACAAGGCATCAAAAATAATATCTACAAAATAAAACCACATGCACTTAACGAAGTCAAATTGAGTAGGTACCATGTGCAATTGGAAAGGAGGCCACCTACTAGACTAAAATTTGCTCCCTAAAATATCATGGAATGAACAATAACCTATAACGATTGAATGTAAAGCACACAATGCTTTATGCATATATGGTTAAGATTTAAATTTTAAATAGATCAGCTCTAAGAAAGGCGTCAGACGGTCTCTTCGCTATCAAACTTGTGTCCATTAAAAGAAAATTGTAAAGGCCGAAACATGAAATCTAAGGGATAGCCCGATCGGGCCAATATGATGGATGAAGTAACTCAAACTAACTGCAACAGTTTATGACGACTGTGTAAAGATGTGTGTTTGGCATTATCACGAAGAATCGAATTGGGATTAAGGCGGTTTCCCTAGGCCTGTAATATCACGAGTCACGATTTACACTACAAACTCATACAATGTGAGCCCGCCTTCTTCTAGTAAACTATACAAACATCAAAAACAAACAATTTCAACATTGAAGCCATACATTTGCATGTCAATAATGACTTATCGATAGATTATGGTACAACACTAAAGTAATCCGCCAAATATTGTATTAATTTTTTGTTTAGATACGCACATACGCACGTTCATTCTGTAGTTAGGGCATCTCTTTTCCTTTATTTTTTTTTACATCCTCTAAACAAAAACCTATTTTTTTAAATTTTATTTCCTTTTTGTTTAGTGGAAAGATATTCTTTGGCTGCACCCCCTTTTCCAACTCTTAAATTTCTATCCTAAGGTTGCCTGGAAGAAATTGCTTGATTTGCTATGTGATATATGTTTATATGATATCAAAGATTTTTTAATAATAAAAAGAAATTGACATTTTGTTTATATTTGACATTTTGTTTATATTTGTGCTGTTCTTACTTCTTTGATATTGTTTAATTTATGATTTTATTGCTGTTGCTATTTATTGGCATTTTTACTTAATTTTATTTGACACTGCTTGTTTGACAAATTATATAATCTTAATTTATGACATTATTTAACTTCAATTTATTTTAATATTTGCGCGCCAGTATCTGGTGCAAGACGTGTTCTTGACATCTTGTATAATAATATCTTTTGTTACCGTGTTTGCTTGCGAATAAATATTTCATTTCATTCCATTACCAAATACCCGACTACGCTGTCTTGTATCGCGATTACCAGTCCTCTTAAATTATTGGTTATTGATTTATTAAACATTGTGAACATTTTCAAAAGGCTATTTAATGTAAGGGAAAAGCACCATACATCGCATAGTTGCCTAATTTCGGATAGTGGACTATCTTCTTTTTTTCTATAGTGCCATCTATTTTTTATTTAATATTTTAATAGCCAACTCTAAAGTGGCACCACTATAAAAAAATCAGCTAACTAGTTTAGAAAAAATGGCAGAACAGTGAGATCACTTAACTTTTTTACAATACAAAATAATATATATTATTCTAATGACATAGTCATTACAACTTACTGGTAATGATAATTTGTATTTACAAATTCTGATTACAAAATGCTGTTTTAGAAAGTCTAACATCTATTAATACAAATAAAGGCATAAATATTTTCAAACCGATAATGTTTACTAAGCTGTAGTAAGTGTGGCTTTATGAAATCTTAATATCGGATACTTACACGAGCCTAATATTGGATATCTGATATTAGAATACTTTTTTAAATGAGAACTTCAAAGCTTTTCATACATGCAATTAATATATTTTTTTATGTGCTATAAAAATATATGTTGAAAACAATTTTTTTTTATGTTTGAGGTTATTATTTTTTTGAAGAATGTTAAAATTCCTTTAGGATGTCTAATAAATATAAGTTAATTTTTTTTATGTTTAAGTTTCTAATTACCCAATCAAAGATTGATTACAAGTCTGATTATTGCTAATAAAAACAAATTAACAAATTATTTATATGTATTATAATTATTGTCGTATCGTATTCACAAAAAATATTTTTGGGACCGTATAACCGGATCGAATATCTGGTTTTAGGCAACCTTTTTTTGAATGTCATTCACTGATTTTTCCCTTTTTTTTTATAAAACATACTGTAGCTTAAAATATTTGATTAGAATATGAAGAATTTGTATTATTTTTAATAGATCTTGAAATAAAAACTGCTTTAAGGTTAAATTTAAAGTTTTTAAGCATTGATTAGTATATTTCTAATTTTTCATCAAAAGTATGCGATATTTGGTGCTTCTCCCCTACTGAATGATCCATTTTTACTTACCGTATCATACCTGTTGGTTCAGGTATCGTGTACTTGTGCCCCATGAATCGCCTCAGCAACTCAACGACTTTGCTCTTTACATCCTCCTCTGGAAGTGTTTCTACCTGTAAAATTTTTTAATTTTCTAAAAATTTTCAAAGCAACCGCTCTAAAAATGCCAACTAAGCCACTTAGTTCGCATAGCGTATGGCATAGTTTGCTAGAAAACGTTGGTTCGAATCCGGCCGGATAGAAGGAATTTTTTCTAAGTTCGATCTTTGTATTAATAATTATAACAAACTAGTGGAGTAATTCCACATAAAAATAATTGAATATCAATTCAATAAAAATTTAAAATTTTATAATGTGTGTATATGATTACCAATTTAGCTGGATCTCCAGTTAACCACAGAGTGATAGTATTATTCGAAGCCGCGGGCACACTAGTGCCAAAGATTTTTGTCATCCAATCGTCTCTTGGTATATTTTTCAAATTTTCTGGCCTCCACAAAAAAAAGAAATCCGAAAGGGTATCGTCCCACCAGCGCTTCTCGAAGGACACAATTATTTTGTCTAAAACACCCACAGTTAGTTTGTCTATAGCTGTAAATTTTTTCTGAGGCAACTCCGGAGAAAATAAGGTTGTGTATCTGAAAAAAAATCCATTTAAATTCGCAAAATAAAAACGCGTATAAAATGCTTACTCGATTAATGTATCAGACATGCTTTATACTACGAAATAGATGATAGTGAATAAGTGAAAATAGATTATATCCAAAATAATTGTATTTAGTTACCTACATCAAAATGTCATAGCCGCACGCTATGTTGTTTCGTCATATTAAGAGATTTAAATCAGTTTATTCGTCAAATGGTCAAATATAATACTACAGTCACAGACGTACTACGTCTAGGATTTGATTACAGTATAAATTGCGCTACATGTCAAAATATGCTAACAGATTGACTTCTTTTATTTTTTTCCATCCTGCATGTTCGCGGTTAATGGGTGAAGTAGTACTTCTGCTACAACTTCATGCAGTCGAGGCATTCACACATAAATTTTCTTATTTTTCAAAAAATTTGGCTATTCCAAGCTCTTTCACTTAATAATGCTTTAAATGCAATTGCAAGAAGATAAAAGTGTGCATAAAGGTACTTTTAACAATGATCATGAGTCATGAGTACAAATGTTATTCATTCGAAAAATTCCAAACGAAAAAACGTTTGTTCTCCAATTTCTGCGCGTTAGCGTGTTTGTTGACATAGGCAATGACTTCTATAAAAATAATAATATACAAACCCAACTTACCGTTCTTTCAACACGCCCAACGACATCGTAACAATAACATTATTGGCCGTGTAAGTGGTTCCGTCTTTTGTCGTCAATACCACATTCTCTTTAGGGTCTTGTGGCCATATGATCTTAGTCACTTCTGTGTTCAGCTTTATTTCTAGATTTGGCAGGCCGGGGCCATTGTTGTATTTATTCTACAAATATTTTTCTTCAATACTATACTGCTCTCTTTGTCATAACTAACGAATATGGGTGGAGTATCTTTCGAAATATTCGCACCTAAAATTTTAAGCGCGAAGCACACAGAGAGCGAAAGCGGTTCGGGCGTGAGTCAGGTCTGATTCCATGTATCTATATTATAGTTTCTCAAAGTGGTCCCTACCACCTCCCAGAGGGCTTTGAAGAGACCTAGGGGGACGGTAACGGCCTCGGGAGCAATTCGGGGCGTTGATGCTGTGCAGGGGGTGCTACCGCATTTGAAAGTCATCTGAATTATCTAAATAAATTACATTACATAATATATACAGTATATATATAATTCCTTGTAATTTTTTGTGTTAAATTAAAGAATATATGTTTTCAATTATTTTTTGTGGTGGTGGGCGTTGAATTTTTTTAATTTGCCCAAGTGGTAAACCAAAAAGTTTGGTTTTGGGTGGGAACTCATGATCTTTATGGACGACAAAACATACCGCACGCGGGCGCGTGCGCCCGCCCCGCGCTAGCATTCGGTCTGTTGTCGTCCATGCTTTGCTTGACGGTAGAAATAGGTAAGGTGGCTGTACTTCTCTGTACCTTACGTTGTTCGGGAGAGTTTTTCTTTTTAAATGTTCAGACATTTTACTGACCATTTTGAAGCTGACCCTACCTCTGACGTAGTTCAGTTAGTCATTACGAATAATTCATTACTTACCAACAAATAATAATAATAATAATAACGCTCACACTCAACATAGCCCCGCACTAGGGAAACCCTGTGACGCGGGTGCCATGGACACACACATAGACAACCACAAATTACACCCAAACTCACGAGAGAAATAAATGTAGGCCATACAAATATTTCTCCCGGCCCGGGAATCGAACCTGGGACCTCTGCGTGGCAGTCCGGCATGGTAACCGTTCGGCCACGGAGGCAGTTATATCAAAAAAAGTCTTGTAACCATATCTATGTCAGCTCATGTACTGGTGTCCACCCAGGTTCTCGTATTTCGTATACGCACTGACGTTCGTTCCAATTGTTAGTAGCTACGTAGCTATTTGTTATCAAATTCATGAACTCGAGGAAACTATCCATAAAGTCTTTGTTTTGGAGAACATCTGGGTGTTTCTTTTCTAAGTATTCATTTAGTCTACAAATAAAAATATAGAAAACGCACTTTAAATAAACTTCCATCTGTGGAAACTTGTAATTTTCCACCTATATTTTATTATAATACAACACGATTAACTGTCGTTTACGACTTTTTTGACGTTACGACGATAGACTGTCGTTGCTGGGAATTTCAGGAAGAATAATTGTAAATATAGAAAGTTCCTTTTTCTACCGTGTAACATTGGTTTGTATGCTATTTTGAAACCGTCAGGCGCATAAATTTTGTTGCTATTTAATTACAATCTTCGTTTCAACAGTCGGGACAATGGGAAGAGCTGGAACGACAGTCGTCTGACGATAAATAAAACGTCACGATAAAAATGTGACGACAGATAATCGGAGCTTGAAACGATTCTGTCGTGCAAACGACATAGTGGCTGCCGTGAACCGATAAATTGTCGTCACGATGTAATAGAACTGCTAGATACGACTGTCGTTCAGCGATTAAATAAACGTCCACGACACAGTTACGACAGTCGTCCAAGGATAAACAAAACGTTACGACATAATGGGAACGCGCCCGTAGCTGTTAGTTTTCATAAAAATGTAAAATAAAAATAAATGGCCTAGAGTGTGAGTAAAAGTTATCACTTGACACTTTAAGGGCCCTTCAAATTAGACGCTTATAAAAGCGGCGCCACGGTATATACTAATTTTCATACAATATTTAGATGCGTAGTCTAATTTGAAGACGCCCTAAGATTATCTAAAGAAATGAAATTATTTACATACTTTCTAGTAACCAAATGCCCCAATGCCTCCGGCTCGTCAGGCTGAATATCCATCACTTCTATACAGTACAATATGAACTCTTTCACTAACTCATCTGCAGTGGTACCATCGGAGTGGTACATCTCAAATACGTGTTCTTGTGCTATTAATGTTACGTTGTTAGCTATTGCTAGATCGTAAACTCTGCTATGTTGCGTGCCGTGGATCCTGGAAGGAACAGAGGTTAACGGATGCTTCAAACGTGTATTCAGCACAAATTAACATACTATACGCACGTAAAATATCACCCTAGTCCCGTATGTACGTCATCCAGTACATAACCAGAAATAGAGACGAAATAATCATTCAATTCATCTCTGGCAACTCATCAGGCAAATGGGCCATAAATCACTTTTAAAATCAACTCTCGTTTGCGCTGAAATCACAAATCAGAAAGCTGAAATAGTACAGCGCCAACAACTGACCTGTGTGTACGTCTCCGTATATACCAAAAATAGTCTGTATTTATTATAATAAAGATAATATCTCTAACAATGGAGGGTTGTTCTATTCGGTGGTGTGGGAAAATCGGCAAAACATCTAATTACAAAACAAACGCAATCACATTTTATCGGTAATTAAATATTAAATACGTAATTTTTAAATTTACGTCAGTTATGGCAATGCTCAAGTTAAACTGAACTTCGTTTTGAAGTGAAACAATTGACGACATCAATAGTTTCGAATTCGGGCTAGCCAATCGGAGCGCAGTTGTCATCGTGATGATTTGGCAGGATAGTTTTCAAACAAATTAAATGACATTTCGTCTCTGTTTCTGGTTATAAACTATATACATATAGTACCTATACAGTGATTTGTAATCTCACCATATTTAACAACTTAATAATACAAATAATACTAAAAATCATCTAAAAATATTTAAAAAAATATTCTATTCAATTTTCTGGCTATTATATATTGTATCTAGTAAAGTTTTGCAAAATTGTCTCTAAATCGTATGCACCGCGCTAAAGGTTAGTGACTCCGTCACCAGGTTCACCGAGCTCACATCGAACTATAAAGTAATCTTTCTCGATCGCCTATTTACCTTTTTTTTTAAATTATGATTATGTACTAGTATTGCTATAATTTACTAATTAGATTTTTGAGATTTGCATTGATTAGAAAAGTAGAGTGAAAAAAGTGTTTTTGTAACTTAGATTTGGTACTTACCAACTTTAGGTTACATGAAAGTATTGCTAGAATTACCTAGCTCCACAGCTGGGATTCGCACGTGAGTTTCATTTCAACATTAGACTCTTTGATTAGACAACTTTGAAAGCAAAAACTTCGACACTCGTATCCTCCGCGTAAACTAAACGTTTCACATCATGCCATAAGAATAGACACGCACTTGTACTTGATGACTTACCATTGTTACGGTTACGGTTACCAACGTTACACCATGCAGGTTCTGGTGAACCTGGTAGCGGTTCTTTTTTGCACTACTAACTCTTGTTTATATACCAAACCACGTGGCATTTCGTGACAGACTAGAATAGAATGTTTGCGGGATGTCAGCGTGACGTAGACTCAATACGGGAAGCAAAGTCGACTGATCTACCAATCGCGCGCTCGATACGACACTCCCCGCCGTCGCTACCCGCACCCCACCACCAAATAGATCTAAACTGCATTTCTTTCTGCGCATTTAAGGTCATTGTTCAAAATGTTTGCAAGTG